ATACATATGGACAGTATTAACAGAGGGAAAAAAAAATATATAAAATATATAAATATAAAAGCCGTTTTTTAAAAAAAAGTAATATGTAGTAAATATTGTTGTGTATATACAGTTGAGTTATTGCACATAGAATTGGTATTGCACAGTGGTGGTCCATAGAGGAAGTGGGAAGAAAAATTATAGCGCTGCAGAACTGTACCCCCCCAGCATGTTTACACTGAGTAGGAGATGCTCTCTATCTCATTGTACAACTGTATAGTGACAATAAAGGCATTCTATTCTATTCTATTCTATTCTATTCTATTCTATTCTATTCTATTCTAGTTAATGAGTCTGACATAAGGCTGGAAGAGTCAGCTCACTGCAGTCCAATTCAGTTGGATTTAGTTTTATTTATTTAGCACTGAGCACTTGGCAACTCCAAGCACTTGGAACACTATGCAACAAAAAAATGTACACTAAAATGTACCATGACAGACAGAGGCCAGGGCAAAAACTTCCATACTCATTCTACCGGTGAGAATAATGTAAAGACTGTATTTTTACCGATATATTATAAAACCTCCAGAAGATTTTTTTGTTATTTTTTTCATGTCCCACAACCCTCAGTCAACCTTGTTATAGTGGGGGCTCTGATTGAGGAAACATTAACACGCTCAGATTGTAGGGTCAGAATTTGGAGTAAACAACATGAAACCATGGATCCATGGTATGCATATTAAACTGGGTGATGGGTATACCAGTCAAACCACTCAAATAAGACAGAAGTTTTACAAAACAAGGCATCAAGAAATATAAGCTATAAACTAGCGAGCTGATTTACCACCGTAATTAATAGGGGAGTCTGGAAGAGAAACACAACACTGCTAATCCTTAAATACACAGTCTTGATAATAGAGTCCAGGTGTGCATAGTAAGCCTGAGAAAATGCCACATTACTAATGGGCAGTTCCACAGGATTCATCCACATATCCATCTGAAAGCTAAAAGTGAAACACACCAGCATGCCCCAGTCCTAACAGGGTCTTTATGGTTTGATTTAAGGTGAGCCCAACATCCGATAAGCTGGGTCTGGATTGACGTGATGCTCATGCACAGCTGAAATTTATCACGATAACATCTGGGGAACAATCTGTGATGATGGCTGGGACATAAATGATGCTGAGGTGGTTTGCAGACAGATAAACTGTGGGTCGGCACTGGAAGTTCCTCAATCAGCTCACTTTGGTGCAGGAACTGGACAGATCTGGCTTGACAATGTGACCTGTTCAGGAAATGAAAGTTCTCTAACTGAGTGTCAGCACAGGGGATTTGGATCACACAGCTGTGGACATGGTCAGGATGCGGGTGTCATCCAGAGAAAACGTAAAATGAGCATTTCAGTAATACTGGAACTGCAAAGCTGAGTGCAGGATTTATAAAATTAAAATTTGGATAAAGTGATATCCATTTTAATTTTTAGTCATTTTGCCATGGTGGAGGGCAAAAGGTTTCAAACTTGTCCAAGCTTTAAAGCTCATGTGTTCTCCTTATTAGTAGTAAATGCATAAAATAAGACTTTTTTTTAAATGAAAACACTGAATAAAAACCTCTTCTTTGAAAAAGAATGCAAATTTGATTGAATATTACATAATATACAAACTATATACAAAGTGTCTTTGAATGGCAGAGTTGCATGTAGCACAAAGACATGGGTTAGTTACTGAATCAGTCTCACAGGCCCTTAATGTGCGCTTAAAGTTTAAGCTTCAAGCTGTGGCAACAGAAAAATCCCATCTGAGAATTTGCTACCATATTGGGAATGTCATAGGCACCGATCGGTTTTCTATCGCCCATTTGCTGGGAGTAAGGGCGCCCTCCGTTTGTGAGGTGCGCCTGCTGCTTGCGGCACAGGGAGGAGAGGGCGGGGCGGTGGGGGATTCTCTGGCTGGCTGGAGCAGCATCTAATAACCAACTCGCAAAATAAAACAAAATAAAAACAAAACAACAAACACGAAAACACCAGACATTATGATACAGACTTATAATTTGCACCAATGTTTTTTCGAAATACGTGAGCGCGAGAGCCCTCGGTGCGCCTGCTTGCTGCTGAAGTCAAAGTAAACTTTATTGTCATCTCCGCTACATACAGTCCAGTATATAGAGAGACGAGACGACGAGGCTCCAGTTACAGCAGTGCAAGTAAACAAACAATAAATATAAGAAGAGTAAGAAAATAAATATACACTTTAGGACTAATAAATTTATAATTTACAGTTTGATGATTTAAAGTCTCACACACAACCCGTCGAAAGGGGAGGGGGCTGCTGCTTCCAAATAGAGCACATTTCATTCATAATGTTGTAAATCCAAGCCCATTATGTATTCATGATTTGAATCCTGGGTTGTGCGAAATCCCAGAAATAAACCCTAGACAAAGCAAATCTGTGAACTAAGGTGTAGGTCTATTAGGTTATGTTGTGGTGATCCTCGGGTTGGGGGATGGGTGTTCATACTGGAGTGCAAAATTAAAACCAATGGAAGATGGACAAGAAAAGTTCAAAGCCATCAGGTCCTCAGTTTAGAAAAAAAAAGAGGAGGAGAAATGAGCAAAAGATACAGGTAAGCAGATGTGATTGGATAATGGCAGGTCATCCTGAAACAATCAGAATCAGAATACTTTATTAATCCCTAAGGAAATAATGTGGGTTACAGTTGCTCCAAGAAGAAATGGTAAAAATAGTAACAGTAACAGACTAAACTCCAAACAATACATTATGTTACAGATTTTACACATTTAAGAAATAGCACTAATATATACAGATCACTCAATTATAAATATCAAGGATTAACAGAGGTGATTATAAATAAATATCAAGAAAATTAGTGAGAATATTCCAGAGTAGAAAAGAGCGTGTGTTCAGCACAATATTAATTAGTCATTGTCAATTCTTTATTTGTCCTGTTCTCATTGTATGCGAATTATGATGGCTGTTTGGTAGCCGTTTGCATACTATGCATACTCTCTCTCTCTCTCTTCACGTATGTGTGTTTCTCTGGTGAAATTAAGTATGGTTCCAACAAGTTTTATGTTAATGTACAATCCATAATATGTTTTATGTGTGTGGGGGGGGGGGGGGGGGGGGGGGGCACCAGAAGTGTTCGGCCCAGGGTGCCAAACAGGCTAGGACCGCCACTGTCTACAACAGACCTCTGGTAGACAG